TAGCTCGCTCACACCAAGGACCTGTCCATGTCATCATTTACCCAGAATGCTTTGTGTGTAAATAAAATGGCTCCATCCGTGTTGAAATATATTTTTAAAAATTATAAAAACTAAAAAATTATAAAACTAACAAACAAGCTGTTTTACTTAGCGTAAAAAAAGTTTTGTAAAAACATTGAATAATCAATTTAGATTTGAGTTTTAGCTTGGCTTAAGTTAGCATAAAATGGCAATCAATTTATTGTTTAATTTACTCGTCTTTTCTACTTGTGTCCTCAGTTCCTCTGTCTCCATGGTGAAGTGGGCGGGGCCTGATGTCAGCCCCACCTCTCGTTGACCCGCCCACCATGCCCACCATGGTCTCCAGGCTGCCGAAGTTCGGCTCCCGTCCCCGATCGCAGACGGCTCCAGCAGCCGCTTCACATGGCGGTTCCACTGCTGCGGGAAGCACCCGCCTCACCAACGGGTTCTACCACCACCCCGGACCCGCCGGGGTCAACGGTACCGCCCCCTCTGCAAAGCAGAACGGTTTCATCAGAGTGCCCAGTTCCTTTTCCCCGAGATGGAGGAGGGAGAAGGAAGCGGGGAGCGATGGAGGGATGGAGAGAGAGGCGGAGTGGAGGAGAGGGAAACCGTTGATCCCACCGGTTGTGTCGCAGCAGGATAAACCAGCAACAGCAGGGCAGAGGCCTGGCCAACCTTCATCCTCCTCATCATCACCGTCTCCACAGTCCAGCCCCAGAACATTTCCTGTCTCCAGAACTGGATCGTTGGGAAAGAAGAGCCAGACCCCATCAGGACTGACCAACGGTACCAAACAGGTCCTGATTGGTTCAGGATCTAAACCACAGATCAAGGCAGTCAGTTCTCTGAGACAGCCGCAGAGCTTCGTCCGTCCTGCCAGTCCGAGGCCCGGCTCTGGTCCGGGATCTCCATCCGGTTCGCCCCTCAGTAACAAACCAGCGGCCAGCCGCTCCCACTCCAGCGAAACCCTGGGCTGCGTTTCGTCCACCCGGCTGACAGAAACCGATCGCTTCCGCTCACGCAGCCTCACGCAGGTTCGACAGCAGCCCTCCCCCACCCTCACCTCGTCCTCCGCCTCTTCCTCACCCCTCGCCAACTCCCCCAACATCACCCGCTCCTGCTCCACCACCAGGGCGGCCCGGCGGGGAACCCCAGGCTCCTCCCCCCAGGCTCCTCCCAGAGGCAGTCTGCTGAAGCCACCTGTGAACCGACACACAGGTAGAGATGTCAGAGGTCAAAGTGCGAGGGTTGGCGTCGCGTCCCAGCTGCCTCCGTCGACCCTAAAGAAGCCCCTCCTACCTGGCCCCAGCCCCGCCTCCAAGCCTAGCGGCATCAGCTACAAGCTGTCACGACCGTCAATCACCAAACAGCCCCGCCCCCTCCGAGTAACACCAGCCAGTGTCCACGGAGGAGACCAGGAAGTGACCCGAGGACCAAACAGACGAAGGAACTCGTTGGAGACGCCGTCGTCTGCAGAAACCAGTCCAGGTTGAACTTTTTGTTTTTAATTTTCCTTTTAAAATATCTTCAGACTTTCATGTTGTTTAATATTAGTTAGTTAGTTAGTTAGTTAGTTCATTTCATTTAACTCAAAATAAACAAAAAAATTTTATACACATTAAAAACAAAAAATATACACAACATATAAACACAACAAAAAATATGTACAAATCAAATTGAAATGAAAGGAGGCAGAAAGAAGAGAAAGTCTTATAATGTTTGCCCCTTTTTTCTATAATTAATTGAAAGCAATAATAATCAAGAAAGAAACAAAAAACAAAATAAAAACTTCAATTCATTCTCTAACAACAACATTACATTATACAGTTTAATATTTCTTTAACAAACTTATTTTTGTCTTTCTCTTTTTTTTTTTGAACCGGCATTTTATAATCACTTTCCAGATTATTCCACAATCTTATTCCCTGAACCGAAGTACATCGATCCTTCAAGTTTGTTCGAATCCTAGGTTTCACAAACATCTCAAGTCCTTTAAGATTAGAAGAACTTTCTCTCTTAACAAAATATAACTGGATGTTTAAAGGCAACATTTTTATGAGCCTTATACATAAGCTGCAAAATACTGTATTATAATCAACCAACTCATAAAATTTTAATAATTTTAATTTACAAAATAATGTATTCGAAGGGTGACTGTAATGCTTTCTGGTGATAATTCTTACTGCTCTTTTCTGTAAAATAAAAATAGGATTTGTGATTGTTTTACATGCTTTACCCCAGACTTCAATACAGTAAATCAAGTTGTTTAATGTTCATTCCCTCTGCCAGCAGAAAACTCCCCTGAAACTCCAGAGGGGCTGCAGGCGGACCCCGTGTCCCGAGGAGGGGGATCCATAGCAGGAGAGATGCTGGAGGACATGTCCCTGTCCTCCACGTCCTCCCTGGACAGAAACGACACCAGTCAGGAGTACATGGATGACTTCGACAGCCTGGGTGAGAAAATAAACAAACAGAAACAAATTTATTTTAAAAAATGTTCTGTTTTCAGGATCTTTTCCCGTGTTTCCAGGAAACGGTGGAGTTCTGCTGTTCTCGTCCAAAAACGACGAAGAGGACTCGGGGCTCGATCAGTCGTGCACTCGGTTAGATGACGAGGAGGCGGAGAGCGGGGTCACAAAGGCAACAGAGCTCTGTTTCCTGGATGATGGTTTGGATTGGACCGGAGTCAGAGGTGAGTTTTTAAAAGAGGTCAGTAAACCTATSGAAACGCTTTGACAAAAACTGTGTTTGACGTTCAGGTGAAGAAGAACATCGACTGAACCGACTCTCCCAGAGGAGAAAGTCCAGCCAGCCGGACTACCATGAACAGGTACCTCATCAGAGTTTGTTCAGTTTTTCAAATCTCAAAAAAAAATTCATTTAAAGTATCAATGAACAAAATATCTGACTTGATAAAACCTTTACACCAACCAGACCTGGATTTTACTTTTTATCTCATCAGGTACTTGTGACGTCAAGTAGGGGTCCTTACATTACATAAGGGGGTTTTCTTAGTGTGGGCGGAGTTTGTCCTAACCCTGATTGGTTGGATTGACTTGTGTTGTGGGGCAAGTTAAAAGATGAAGCACTGGTAACAGTAAAGTTATTGTTAAAGGGGCAGTATTATGTGTTTCTCAGGCATATATTTAAATACTATACCATAATAAAGTATCTATGTCACCTTTAGTTGTTATWAAAATGCTGTTTTTATGTTTAAATAGAAAATAAACTTATCTTCTCATCACTTCCYGTTCTAAACGCCTTGAAATTGGCCTCTGTCTCTTTAAGAACCACCTTCTGCTTCGGTGCTACCATGATGCAGTTTACTTSGCATCTGAAAATACATTTCCTCAAAGGTATTTTTAATCTGAAAAGAGCTTCACTGAGTGAGAAGTAGTGTTGAGAGCTCAGCAGACAGTTAGGTTTCACTTTCAGTTTCACCCGAGAGCCTGCGGGAGACATGGGCGGGGTGTGTGCACCGTTATGAGGAAGTTAGGCTTAAAGACATGTCCCAGGGGCGTTTCTGGTCCCAAAAGGTGTTTCTGGTCCCCACCTGTCGTTTTGCTCCTCAGCATGGCTTCCTAAAAACGCTGCAGGATTTCTCAAACATGCATGAATGAGTCAGAGCAAGGCTTTGGGCCTGTTTTTTATGAGAGTATAACATGATATAAAACTCAAAAAAGTTGATTTTACATGATATTGCCCCTTTAACATGTAAACATAATTTATTAACTGTGACTATCACCTTCTTGTCTTGAGTTTTGACTAACATTAATATTTATATTCAAAAATACAATCATTTTTCCAAGCGAGTTAGGGTCTGAGCGATATTTCAGTAATGATAGACACGTGTTCAATATCAATAGAAAACACGTCTGATATAATAACGATCATTTCTCTGATTATTAACTAACGGTTGAWAACTTTCTGATAAAATAATCTAGGACCTTTCAGCTAAACAAGGTAAGCTAGCAAAAACACCTGTGGAGTAACGAGCAGCAGCAGTTTCATGTTTCGCCTCTTAACTGCTGAAAAATAAAACAGAATGACGTGGAGAGAAGGGAGAAAATGATGCAACAGCTCCAGAGGAAATTGTAGATAAAAGAGGAAAAGGTCTGGCAGTATTTCAGCTACTTTAAGTTTAACAAGAGTCAGACCTATKTTGTCTAAAACTAATTAATAATTATGGATATCGATGATTTTAAACTCTTGTATCGTGGTAAATTTTTCAGCCCTACTAGCACCTTCCTGTCTGGAGTTATGACTGAAATTAACTGTTATGTTTAAAAAATAGAGGCGCTTCCTGGCTGTTTTTATTGAGTTACATCTTCAAACCCCGCCCAATCCAACACATCTTTAACAAACTCCTCCCACAAAACAAGACACTCGCACTTAGTGACTGCAGAGACCCCCTTCTCCGTGACATTGACAAAATTAGCTAAAAAGCTAACAGAAATATTGCCATAAACAACTATGTTTTAAGTAGAAATTATCTGTAAATTACTACAAAACGTCTGTTTTTAATGCTCGTTATACATCAATCTAAAGAGTCCTAATTGGTGAGGGCTTTTCTCTTTTAGAAATAAAACATTAAAAACATTTTGATCCTTCAGGAACTCCCTCAGAGTAAACTTTCCGCACTTTATTCACTTTCAAAACACACACCATTCAAGAAAATACAATCAGCCTTAAAGCAAACATGTTTTCCTGTCGTATGAAAGCAACAGGTGCAGATGGACGGTTTGGCCCCGCCCACAGCCAGGTGAAACACAGAGAGCCGTTGTTTTATTGTGAAGCAGATTGGTTCATGGAGTGTTTGAACAGATGTCTGATGTGGTTTCTGCTCTGAATCTGTAAAAACACGGGCGAGGCGGAGCGCCACATCACAAGAAAACCTTTTATTTTGCTTCASTCATCGAGCTGACAGACAAATACAAGCAGAAAGCATGTCTGTTAGCAAAATATCTCATGAACATGGGACAAAGTCACACCAGTGGGAAATAAAAAAAACATCACTGATAAATGGTTTAATAGCTTCAAGTTGCTTCACAAATAAATAAAAAATGTCAACAAACTAATCAATGTGTTTCTTAAACTGTATTCTAGGTGAAGTCTGAAAATCTAATCATCTGTTTTCTTTGTGTTTTTACAGGGTGGCTCGTCTCTGGACCTGTCCCCCTCAGACAGCTGTGGGTCTGGGGGGACCTACATGTGGGACGAGGAAGGTCTGGAGCCTCTGGGAGGTGTCGCCACAACCGCCTCCGTCCACACCAACAGCAACACGACCCACCACATCGGGAGCTTCGACTCAGACATCAACAGCGTCGTAAGTCCAGATCTGGTCCAGTAGTTGTTCTTTTTCAGATGTTTCTTTTATTTTTTATATATTCATTTATTTCATTACAAAAAGTTGATTAAAAACCCCCAAAGTAAATCAATTATTGATTGAAAAGGGTGCAAAAACAAGAAGAAAATCTTATATCTGCTCCTAATTAAAAACAACTTCAATCAAACAACTTAAACTTGAACAATCTCCATAAATGAGAAAAGAAAAGCAACAACAATTTGAAAACAAGAACAAMACATATTGTTGTTTTCATTTAAACTCGATCAGACTGTATCAGTAAAWTTACAGTTAAAGTTTCTGAACTTGATGTTGATAAAAACAGCTTTTACCTTTTGAATTCCTCATCCTCTGCACGGTGAGTTCAGGCTCCTCCCATCAGATACTTTGTGCCAAAATATAAAACTAAGGGTTTTAAAATCAGCTTTGTCCCTGATGTAATCAGCTTTTTAAATTCAAGTACATAGTATAACATAACATCAGTTAGTCTTTTTTATATATTCTACTTTGTTTAGTTAGGTTTTATGTGGTTTTACCTGATTTTATCTTGTTTTGTCTTTTTATTCTGATATTGCATTTAGATTTGGGAGTTGTATTTATATTTTAATTGAGCACCTGATCACTTTTTAATCATGTTGTGTCCACTGAATGTCCATGTCATATGTCTTGTGTTTTTTTTTCTTTTGGAACAAAGCTGACTAACTTTCACTGTGATCAAATTTATCTGCAGGTACAAATAAAGTTGATTGATTAGTTAAGAAGTTTAGGGTGTTAAACACGTGAAAAATCTCATAATATCCACAGTTTAATCACTTTCATCTAATTTTTCTTCTGCYTTTCTCATCAGACCAGTAAAGATTTGAATAAAGCCCTCTGGTACCCTCTGGTGTTCATTCTGTGAACTACAACCAAATTAAACGAGCTGTAAGGCATCTGTGCGCTCCATTAGAACAGCCAAAATCAGCTGTCRTTGTTGCAGTTTTATGACGAAAATCAAATCATTTTGTTTGCAGCTTCTTGTCACAACTCGACGGAAAACTTTTCGGCCGCCTTCGCACGAGCGATTAGTTTAAGATTGGTCAGAACTGAGGCTTCTTGCTTTCAGTGTCACGGGCACTTTTAGACATTTCGCTGTAGATTTTTATTGTCTAATGCATGTACACAGATTATATTTTACTAAAAGAACAACTGCAGCTGCARTGAAGCGTAAAATTTCAGAATTTGGAAAGATTTTTTAGTTAAGGTCAACATATTTTGGTTTTATGAATCATTAACATTTGCATGAAAACAACAAAGTGTTTGGTTTGAATCAGAACCTGAATTTAATGTTCAAGTAGTTTCGTTGGGCTGCAAACACTAGAACTGATTCATGTTTAGTTATTTTACATGTTAAATCCAAGGTTTGCTGCAGATTCTTTGCAGGCAAAGCAGAAACACAAATGGTGATGAAAATCATTTAGATTTTCCAGATAATTGAATAATTATCAACAACATCGTCTCCTCTGCAGCAGATCCTGATCCAGGATGAGTCGGATCAAACAATCTTAAACTGCAGCAGGAGGATAACCAGGGTCAAGCCCAGGCTTAGACCTTCACTTCAGTATAGTTAATGTAGCTCCTGAATAATGCTGAAAGGCTCTTAATGAGCTCTGAGTCTCGTTTTGCCCTCTGTGTTAATGAGCTGTAAGTCTCAGAGTGATTGATCCAAACGAGCTGGAGCCGTTAACGATCTGAGGACGTTAACGAGCTCTCAGCTGATGTCTGAAGTCTTYGAGTTGATCCTGCAGARGGTTTCTTCTCACCACCAGGGGTCAGTGTTGTTTCTGTTGAACAAGGAGGTTCTATAGAACARCTGGAGCTCAGAAATATGTGATCGGCTGGAGAAGCTAACGGCTAACGCTAAACGGTCAAGAGTCTGGATTTCCCATTACTGTACATGTTGACAACAGAGCAGAAAAAAATGACTGACGCTGTAGAAATCATTAAAACTATTAATATTAATATTAACCCAATTATTATTAATATTTTACAGTTTATATAATCTATCTAATGTTTTAAACAATGCCAGAAAAGCTGTTTGTGTTATGGGCTGGAGAAGCTAACGGCTAACGCTAAACGGTC